TAGGGTTTAGCATAATATTCCTTCATGAACTCACTTCGGGGACATCATCATACTAAGGCACATGGTGACCGTAAATATCCTAATAGGACATCGAACACATAATGTTATTACCCAATTCATTAAGTATGTCGACCCGACTTGGATCTCACCTAAAGAATCAAAGCAACAACAATTATATGCACATGCCTATATAATATCTTACGGGTTAAGAGCACGCAATAAGTAACTGAGGCCTAGTTCGTTTACGACGATTAGTATAAAACTAACATCCCTCTCTGGGATCCTGTTCAATACATAAATGTACGAGTGCAACTAATCGGTCAAGACAAACCGTACGGTTGACACTACAACCGTTCCGATGGGTTGTTCAATTCCATCTAGGTTGTGAACCAACGATTCTTGTTTCGCAAGTAACTGATATAGTGATCTTCGGTACGCCCGATGACGACCCACTTATCTACATGCAAAACAACAGAACGTGGAACTTATTTAACCAAACATAATTCTCATTCATCAAGGAATAACAAGTGTAATATCCACTAAAGCAAAGCTTAAGTATATAACACCAACACTTCCGAGCCCCATTTTCTATGTTTTGGCCCATTTTTCTCTAAATCCAAAACCTTGTGAATATTTTCAGGTGGATTAAGGATTATTTAAGCCTAAGATTGCCTTAAAAATGTTTAAGGCAAGTTAATTAGCATTAGGCTTAAGTTGAGCATGTGTGCATGTGAATATTATATTCAATGTGTAAGTTTATGTCTCTCACTCACCTTGTGTCCGGCCAGAGCCTTTGTCCTCTTCCTAGTTGCTCTGAGAACCTCCTCAAAATCCACCCAAGTCATCCCCAATGCAGCCCCAAGTCCCTAGGTGCACATGAAGTGGGAAAAGAGCACTTAAAATGTGTCTCTCATGAGCTACCTAGTGCAATCCGCCCAAGACTTCATTTAACGTCATTTTTCAGCAAGTAAACACTCTTGGACACTTAAGAATTTCACCAAAACTCAGTCATATAGAGAGAGATAGTCGAGAGCCTTGCATGCATGCGCCTAGGCCCGATAAAGAGGAGCACCGAGCCATCTCTTGTGCTAGCCGAGTTTTGCTGCACCAAACAAAGTTCATATCATCTCTGGGAGTATAAGGAGTTTAGAGAACCCATCATCCCCAACCAAAGGCCACCGAGTCAAGCCAGGACCTATAGCGACCCGAGGAGACCCGAGTTAAGGGCTTGAGTCTCATTTTCGATTTCGGTGAAGGTTAGATCATGCTATCTTTTTACCCTAGCTATAACATGATATTTTAAGATTTATCATGTAGAGAAATCAAGTTTTGCTCGGGTAGAATGAGAGATTCGGATTTTTGAAGCTTAAAGCCTTAAAATCGTATTTTTTCGTTGCATGCATGTTGAGGCCGTGTTCTTGAGCTTAAAAATCCTTATAAATAATGAGTAATATGGGGTTAAAACAGGTTCTTAAAATAAGTAAGGGTGTTCGGTCATCTAGAGCTCTATTTTTTCGAGGAAATAAGCCTCCGAACCACATTGTTATGCATGTTTGAAGGGACATTAGTGTGTTCTTGATGAAACCTCATTAAAATCGTGTTAGGGTTGTGGACTATGGAACATCTATGAGTCTTTGGCCTCATGGTGAAGGCCTTAGACGTTTTTGTTGAGTATGTGGTCATATATGTATTTTTGAATCTGGAGTTGCTGCTGATTTTTACAAAAATCATCATAAATCGTGTGTTCGTCCAATTGCTGTGAAATTTGAACTGTATGACCTTCTTTTGGTATGTTAAGTGGTGTAAAATTTCAAGTCGAAATGATGTCTGTAGCTAGGTCAAATGTCGATTTAAAATTCTGGGCAGAATCTTTGAAAAATCATTAAAAATAGGATTCTTGGTGTTTTACTGTGATTTTTGGTGAGAGTTAGTAATCTGATGTTATATGTGTTGTGTTCAAAATAGGATTCTCAGCTACTCCTAGTCCCGCGCGGCTTGGGTCGTCCGCATCGTACACGCGCGTGATGAGAACACGGCAAGAAGGCTGAAGAATGCGGCGAGCCGCGCTTATCATGCACGGCGGAGGTTAAGCCGCCGGGCTGCCGAGGCCCAACTCGTTAGCGGGCATGCGCGTGCAAGCGGTGACGCGCGCGAGAATTTCGACCAAGGACGCGATAGCGCGAGTACGGCCATAGGGATTCACGCGCGAGCATCCCTAACCGCGCAAGGAATAGGCGAAGCGGATGACGTGGGCGCGGGAGTCCGGCACGCGCACAATGGCGGCTAGGGTTGGGCAATGCAAAGCGGATTCCATAGATTAGAATCCTTTTCTTTCCTTAATTCCTAGTATGGTAGGATATCTTATGTTTATTGCTTTCCTAGTTTAAGTAGATTAGCCTTAGTGGAATAGGGTTAGATCTTTATTTGGGCTTTATAAATAGGCGCAAGCATTGTTACTTAGGAATTAATTGATTCTTCTTAATACGAAAATCCAAACTCTTTGTTCAAACACTTTGCGTAGATTCCTTGAGTTCTATTGCAATTTTACTTGTTTTGAAGGACTGTGGACGCGGATCTTCGAGACCCTATCTCGATTTAAGGCACTCGCGTGGCTTGTCGAAAGGCCGAACACACGATCTTCACCATTGGTGCTTTCATTTAGAGGTGTTTGATCGTGTGTTCTTCTTCCTTCTGATTCTAATTTTAATTTTCTTTGTTTAATCTTTCTTCGTTCAAAAAAAAAAAAAAAAAAAAAAAAAAAAAAAAAAAAAAAAAAAAAAAAAAAAAAAAAACGAGTCCTCGTAGCAAAGAAAGAAAGAAAGAGAAGAAGGAGATGGCCAACAAAGAGATGAAAGACAAAATCGATGACCTTGATGAACGGGTTTTGGGCATGACCGGGACCATGTCCACCATGGGGGAAGAACTCGGGTCTCACAAGGTGGCTATGAAGGAGATGATGCAATTCATGACCCAAAAATTCGAGGAGATGGGGCGAAACTTTCAAGAACTCCAGCAGCAGCCCCGCACTCACGAGCGAATTCGCACAAACGCATGCGAGCGTCTACGGCAACAGGAACAACAGTGGGAGCATGAGAAGGAGAAATTCGAGCGGAACTCGCAAGCGTCCAACATGCACGAGAGGCCGAGGGTTGACAAGCCAAAAATAATGCTCTCGACCTTCACGGGGAACGACTCCGAGGCCTGGCTCAATCGGGCGATGCAATACTTCGAATTGAACGAGACGCCGGCGAGGCACTGGGTCAGGTATGCAGCCTATTACCTAGACGGAGAGGCCAATGTGTGGTGGCAATGGCTCACAAGCATATACGGGACCCGCAATCAACCGATCATGTGGAATGATTTTGAGAGAGAATTACTCACGCGGTTTGGAGCATCAAGTTACCTCAACTATGACGAGGCGCTCTCGCGTATTAGACAGACGGGCACTCTACGCGATTACCAAAAGGAGTTCGAGCGCTTGGCGTGTCGCGTACGAGGGTGGCCTGAGAGTGCCTTGGTCGGTGCATTCATTGGAGGACTTAGGTATGATTTGGCTGCGGAGGTACGATTGGAGCAACCGGACACCATGCAAAAGGCGATGGAGGTCGCTCGACGGCGCGATGAGCACCTAGCCGCAACGCGAAGGGGACGGGCAGATCTCCGTGCCCCAGAAACGCGCCGGGTGCCAATTAGCTCGAACACGTTCAATACATGGGTCAAACCAACGAGAAACATTCGACCTCCTATTCCGGAGATCAAGCGATTGACGGTCGAAGAGATGGCTCGGAGGCGTGAGAAGGGACTGTGCTTTAATTGCGAGGAGAGGTTCACCCCGGGTCATAAATGTAAGCAAAATTTTCTGATCGAGCTTATTGACTCGGGTGATGAGGAGCCAGAGTTTGTGGAAGAAAGGGAAGAGGAAGAGGTCGAGGAGCTCGATGATGAGGCCGAAATCTCTGTGCACGCTATGGCAGGCACCAAGGGCCCGAGGATGATGCGATTGCCGGCGTGGGTGAAGGACCAGCGAGTGACTGTGCTCGTGGACAATGGGTCGTCGCACAACTGCATTAATGCGACACTATCTCACAAACTTAAACTACCCACGTCCATGGTCGAGCCATTCGAGGTTCGGGTGGCTAATGGTGAGCGACTACGGTGCTCGAAGGTGTACCGAGGAGTGCCAATCAAACTCCAGGGAGTAACGGTAAAGGCGGACCTGTTTGCCTTGCCACTGGTAGGGCCAGATGTGGTGCTTGGGGTGCAGTGGCTCGAGGGACTAGGAGATGTGATGACTAATTACCGCAAGGGTGTGATGAAGTTCGAGGCCGGTGATCAGCTCGTTACTTTGAAGGCTAGTGAAGGGGAAACCAAGGAGGTTGGTCTAAAAAGTATCGAGAAGGTGTGGCGAGGTGGCGGGTAGTTGTACGCTGTCGTGGTCGAGCAGGCTGGCGAGGAGTTCGACCAGGTGGTCGAGGAGAGGCAGCGCGATGTGCGTGACTTGCTCGAGGAGTTTGACCAGGTCCTCGACGAGCCCAAGGGATTGCCGCCGCACCAGGAGTTCGACCACCGCATACCTCTGGTCGAGGAGGGTCGAGCAGTGCACGTGCACGATGGGTGCAACGACCGACGATGCGAACGCGAGGAACGGGCATCCACGAAACCGAAAATTATTATGCCCACGTTCACGGGAACAGATCCGGATGCATGGTTGAGTGGAGCTGTGCAATTTTTTGAGATCAATGACGTGCCAAGGAATGAGAGAGTTCGAATTGCTGCTTATCATCTTGATGGGGAAGCAAACGTATGGTGGCAATGGGTGTTGCATAAGAACCAAGGTGAGCACATGCGTTGCAGGGATTTTGAAAAAGAGCTCATTACAAGGTTTGGCTCGAGTGACTACCACGATTAAAATGAGGCTTTGTCTAGAATTAAGCAAGTTGGTAGCCTAAGGGAGTATCAAAAGGAGTTCGAGCGCATTGCTAGTAGGGTGCGGGATTGGCCCGAGAGTGCGCTAGTAGGGACGTTTGTTGGAGGAATTAAAGCTGAGTTAGCAGCAGAAGTAAGGTTGGATAGGCAAGGATCGATGCAAGCAGCCATGGAGTCGGCGTGACTACATGAGGATCATCTGATGGCGGTACGCAAGGCCAGTCCGAGCGACGTGCGCACAGAGAACAAGCGCACGCACGCCGCGACTGAGGAACCAGCGGCGAGAACCGAGAACAAGCTGTTGGACAAGGCTGTTCGAACAACGAGCAACATACGGCCTTTGACTGATGAAGAGATGCAGCGACGACGAGAAAAAGGCCTTTGCTATTCGTGTAATGAAAAATTCACACCAGGCCACAAGTGAAAGGGTAATGAAGTATTTTTGTTAGAAATTGAGGATGATTGCGAAGAGGAAAAACCGCAGGAGAAGTCATTGTTGCATATGGTTAAGAGCAAGAAACGTGGTCCAAAGATGATCACATTCACGGCTGAAATTAGGGGCAAATTTGTAGAAGTATTGGTTGATAGTGGGTCTACGCTAAACTTCATTGATGAGGAGCTGTCCAAGGAAATTGAGATTCCATTCACCAAGGTAAAACCTTTTGTAGTCAAAGTAGCAAACGGAGAAACACTCCGAGGGGATATTATCTTCAAGGGTGTAAAGATGGTGGCTCAAGGTCAAAAGATGAGAGTGGATCTATATGCCTTGCCATTGAAGGCGACTGATATAGTACTTGGATGCCAGTGGTTGGAGACTCTTGGTCCAATCACAACTGATTATTGGGAAGGAACTATGGAGTTCGGGAGATCGAGTAAGAGGGTCAAGTTGAGGACTGAGGATCCAGGCGAGTCACCTGACGAGGATGGTCGAGTTCGGAAGCTGAATTTTCTTATCCTTGAGGACAAGGAAGGTCTTGAAGAGGAGGGGAATGATACGGAAGTGGAGTTAGGGACCGGCAAGTCTAGTGAGGGGCTAAAAGGCGAAAGGTGCGCATCGGCCCTTAATGCACACGAGTGGGCAAACAAGCCGCGCACGCGGGATTTGCGAGGAGTATGCGGGCGCGAGATTGGCAGGTGCACGGGTGTACGCGGATGCGCCGTAGGCGATTTGGGCGCGGGCGGTAGCTGGGGCACGCGCGAGAAGAATGGCAGCAGCAAGGCGCGAGCGGATGTACGCGCGTACGGTACGGACGCAAAGCCTAGTCCTCGCGGGACTAGGCATGGCAAGAGGACGGCGTGCACGCGCAGGCAGGACGCGACAGGGGCGAGATGCGCGAGACGGCGCGCGCGTGCAAGAGCAGCGCGCGAGAGGCCTAGTCTGCATAAGCCCTAGGCATGGCAGGCGACGGATGGCACGCGCGGGAGAAGGGCGGCGCAGGTGAGGCGCGCGCGATAGCGCGCGCGTGTGCGGAGGACGCGAGCGACGCGGACAAGGCGTAAGGCGGCCTAGAGTTTTGAGCATGTGGAGACTTCAAGCTTCTAGAATTGCTTGGTGTGCAAGCCAAGCATTAGTATTTTGGTAGTAGTAGGATTTTATTGCTTTCTAGTATTAGGATTTCTATTATTACAAGATTTAGGAGATCTAGTTTATTTAGGCCTAGATTTATTTTATGCACCTATAAATACCCCATGTACCTCATCATTATTAATGAAGAGTTGAATGTTGAGTCTTGAATTGGTGAGCCTATTGTGAGGGGGAACTGTTGTTCTTACGTGTGTTTAAACAAGGCCGTTAGTGCGTGT